TACAACTTGTCAAATAGATTATATTTCACATAAGACTGCGAAGATGCCGAATTATGAAGAAGATAGTGAACAATAACTTTTCAACTATTATTTATGCAAATTAATCTATCATGATTTAATTTTGAAAATAATTCAGTACCTTAATGTAAATTTAGTTGTTCTAATACTGACTTATATAGATACACTAGGCTGAAAATATTTCTATAATCTGATGAAGAAACAAAATCGTAGACAACTGAATCAACAACATGAAGGAACTCAGATCTAAGTTTCTGCTTCACACACACTGTATTAAAATTGATCAAGTTAGAAAACAGCATTCAGAAATAAGCACAGTATAAGACAGTACAGCTGGCCAAGTGTCACATATAACCCCACAATAAATTAAATATAAAATTCACTATTGGTCTCAAATCAAGGCTGCTATGCAAGCATTTATTTTATAAAACGGTACTTTAGTTTGCAAGGAAGGCATGCATAAACACATGTTTCTACAAATGAAGGGATGTTATATATTATATAAAGATCTAGAAGATGCAAGACAGAAAGTAAACACAACCAGGTCTCTCGGGAAATGAAAATACTTAGGGTACAAGAAGCCCTCAGTATTTGTAGTCCTGGAGGAACTGAGAGGATTCCAGCACAGCTGTAGCTAGCTGTCCTTTCTGACACAAGTGTCTTCTCTCCCTCAGGAAGTAAGTTTGCAGTAAGTTATGTCACTACTTTTCCTGCCCAATGACTGTTGGCAAGGGTAAATATGTTTGAGTGACTTTTTTCTCATCAATTATAGGAAATTAAAAAAAAAAAATAAGACTAGGGGCCAGGGAGGTGGCTCAGTGGGATAAGTGCTTCCCTGGCAAGGACAAGGGCCTGAGTTCAATCCCTGGTTCCACCAAAAAAAAATGGCTGGGGAGATAGCTAAGTAGAATAAGTGCTTGCCTGGCAAGTGTGAAGTCCTGAGTTCAATCCCCTGTACTAGGGGGCACGGGGGGGGGACCTTCAAAAGCAGGATTATTTTCTAACTTTACTTTAGTCAAAAAGTATCTACCATCTCTTACACATTTTATCAGAAACACATGAACAAATGAAGATAGTAAACGCCACCTTTCAAACTGAACTCTTTCAGTCTTTGTTCTTAATTTTTGGACAAGTGAGAAACTGTCATGAGAAATTCTAAAAATTTTTCTTTTAATATTTACCAGCAAATATTTATACTTGCTCTTTTGGCAGTGCAAATTCCCATATAAGCTGTGGTGGATTGCATATGGTTTAAGGGTGCTCTGTAAACATGTTATACTAGGAACTTGGTTCCCAGTGGCAGTATTGAGAGGTGGTAGAAACTAAAAGACAAGAGGAGAGGGTCAAGTACAAGGTTCTGGTGGCAAGGGCAAGTTGTTATGAAGAGAGTAAGGCCTGGGCCATGAATCCTCTCTCTCTCTCTCTCTCTCTCTCTCTCTCTCTCTCTCCCTCCCTCCCTCTCTTTCCATCTCTCTGTCTCTCTCTCTCTCCATCTCTCTTTCCGTCTCTCTGTCTCTCTCTCTTCATCTCTCTCTCTCTCTCTTTCTCTCTCCCTATCATCTCTGTCTCTTCCTTTCTTCCCTGCCATTATGCCACCAGCCACATTGTATTGTAACCAAAAGGTAATAATAATAATAATAATAATAATAATAATAATAATAATAAAAGCCTCTGCATACTGGACTCTCAGCTTCCAAAACTATGAGCTAAGCACCTCTTTTCTTTATAAAGCACTCCTCAGCCCTTTTTTTTCTTTTTGTTTTTCATTTTGTTATAGCAATACAAAATAGACTAAGCAGACAAAAATCCTTAGTATGAATAGAGTAAAGTTACTTAGCCTTTCTCTCTTTAATAGAATTTCTATTTGTTTCCAATACATTTCTACTAAAAACCCTTATAAACAATAAGACCTACATGTTTAAAAATATAATATTTGAAAACATGTTGATATTCATTACACTTTCGTATTTTTATGTACTCAATCTTTTCCCCAGATGTCAAGAATATCTATCTTTTTAGTCATGGGTGTATGAGATGATAGAATTATTTAAACAAGAATGCAAGGAGAAAGGGAATTAATAAGTGATTTTTTATATACAGCATAAAATTTTTGACTCCCTGGCAAAGAAATCAATTTGATGGACTTTCAATTCCATTGTGTCCTCCCTTCTAAAAACAGACTTCAAAAGTAGATTTTAAAGTTTTATTATATCTCTATGACTTAAGGAAAATACGAAATTCAGAAATTAAAAATCCAATGTTCTTCTGTATGTTTCTTCTTTATTGTAATAAAGAGAAAGAAAATAGAAAAATGAGATCAGATACCAGAGTTCTTTCACATCCTGTTCTGTAGTGGGTGGAGAGTGATATTTATTGTATAAAACATAGATAGTTATACGACAGACTGACACATTAGGTACAAGGGCATACTTGGTTGGACTTAGTAAGAAGCCTGGAAGCTTCGGGGGAAGCTTCAAGTGTGGTCATTTCTCCCATGACAAAGGACAAGGACACAGCAGTCAACATTCCTGCAAATGGAGGAAGTGGAGTCAGAATTTCTAACACTTAGTGGCTGTATTGAACAGGAGTTTTGGGAACAAATATATCAGTAAAAGAGCTTAGGGGTGGAGAGAGGCCCAAGGACCTCTCAGAAGGTTTGAATCCACTTCAAGATAAAAGTCAATGCCTGAGCCGACAAATAACCTTCCATGGGAAAATGGTTAAAAGAACTGTGGCACTTCAGCCAAATCCCAAAAGTTATACCTTGGGAATGAACCTATTCTATTAATATATTACTTTACATTTTACTAAAATCTCATTAATAACAGCAGCCAATAAAATAGCTAAAATCACTTTCAACCCTCATTTTGGACTAAACCCAATTCTTCTGCATGGTCACTAATTGTTCTGGCTGCCACCTCTTCGCGCAGTATACAGTGGGTGAGGACAGCCCTGAAGTTTCCTCTGCTCTCTGAGCTGTCCTTCCATGGAAACGGGGGCCTCAGATCTGATGTGGTGCACAGGTTCATTCTCTGATGCTCACTTCCCACGAGAAGGCCTCACTTTACATCCTAAGGCTCAATAAAATCGAAGTTTTCTTTCTTAGTAGGAAATTACTAACAAGCAAACACTGGATTCTCAAAGGATTTCACTTACACCATCTATATTTTTCTACTTTCACAATGAAGATGAAAACTTTAAAATAGTAGCTGTTCCTTCCCAAGGCCTAATATAATAACATAAAATGTCTTTCAAAATTATATTTCCAGAGGGCCGGCCAAATAGCTCAGCAGATTAAAGCAACTGCAAGCAGGCACAGGGACTAGGGGTTTGATCCCTGGGCCTGTCATGCCAGCCCCGCCCCCACCCCCTCAGGGCACACTGAGACAGTGATTGAGACTGGGGTGGTGGCGCGGGCCTATAATCCCTGCACTTGGGAGGCTGTAAACAGGAAGATCACTATGAGTCCTGTCTAATAGTGAGACCCTGGACACCCTGTAGACCCTTTCCTAAAATACAAAAAAAAAAAAAAAAAAAAAAAAAAAGCTGAAAGCTGAAGCCGTATTAATATGCTGAACTGTAAAAGGCTCAAGTCAACAACTTTTGACATTGTCAATCATTTGGATAACCCACTACTATTATAGACGACTGGACTATATGGGATTACTTTTGTGAATTCATGCATCTACAATATATGAATGGCAATGGAATACCCATCTCTGACAAAAGTAAACAAAAAAATGGGATATAAATGAAGGTCCATTTGGTAGTGGAAAAAATATATATATATATACAAAATAGCATAGATATACAGCTACTTTCTCTTAGTTCAATGAGAAAAAAGATTTGAACTAATAGTGTTTAGACAAGATATCATGTTTGCATCTTGTGCTATGAATAACCACTACAAAGTCAACAATATACAATGTATTAATTATTGTAACTGTCCTACTAACCTGTTTTGAAACTGTTTCATTGCTACTTCTTTCTCAATAAAATTAATGGATCAAAAAAATAGATTTGAAGTATTGTTTTCAGTGATCTGTGAAGGGTTATTTTCCCAAACATACTGACCCTGACAAGAAGACATTCTCCCAAAATGGAATTATGATGGTAGTATCATCAATCAGGTAATTATCAGATTGTGAAATGAGATCATATCACTTTCGCAAACTGGTACAGGAGACATGAGTTTTTGAATGTATCTCTGAAGAAGATTATAGGTAAATTTCTCAGCAAATTCATTAAAAATATTGTAAATATCTTAAAATGAGAAGAGGGCAAAAACTTACAAACCAACAGACCACGTTTAGATCCCAACTACCCTGATCTTTCAGAATGAGATAAGTAAATCACTCAAACTCACTACAATTCAGGCCCCTGGTCAATAAAGCACACTTGACAGGGCAGAGGTCTCTCAGTTGTTGAACTCAGTTTAACCCAGGTCATGTGTGAATACTGAAAAGTTTTAGAGTTGAACATATTTTCCCCATAATAAATAACATAAAATTAAGTATTACAAACATGAATTCATTTTTCCAGGACTTTCACAATGATATCTGTATTTCTACCATGGGCATCCTCTTTTCCTCTTAGCTTTACTACCAGTTTTTCCTCTTTGAGGCATGGTTATATTTTATGCAAATGAAGCACAACAAGAGAGCAACGTTGAGTGCTTTGACACACTGACATAGCATATACATTCCTGGATAAGAGTGGGCCTTAGACCAACATGTCACCCCTATGTCAGAGCAAGACATGGCTCTGACTCACTCTCAACCCATACATGTTTTTTCAAGTCAGATTTTCAGTTCAACTATCAGGCAAAGTTATAAACACTGAGCAAACTTTTTCTGCACTTTGCTATTTCCACGAGTAGTGGAAAGTTGGAGCTGAGAGCTACTTGATGTCACTGTAACTGCTTTGAAAAGTATTTATTTGTGATATCTAAATGAGAGATTCAGCTTTTAAAAGAAAGCCCAATACTTACCTGGCAGGGAAGATAACATGATCATGAAGTTTGTTTTCCTGGGGACAGACTTATCCATTGCATTCTGGATGTACTGACCCCTGCGATTTCCCCAAATGTGGGACACTCGGCTGCATGATTTGTGGTAGTCGGGGATTGACCTCACCTTTCCCCCTGTAAAAATAAACAAATAAAACAAATCTCATGTTTGTATTAGTCAGCAGTTCCCATTGCAGCTGAAAGCCACACCTGAAGGAAGACAGGTTTCACGTAGCTTGCACTTTGTACATCAAGTGTGTGATTGGTGGATTGCAAGGAAGGAACATCACCATCATGGTGGGAAACCATGCAGCACAAAGCTACTTAGTAAGTAGAGCGGGGGACTGGTGCAGAGAGAAAGGAGCCAGAGAACAGACAAAGCACCCACAGTCACCCTTCCACATCCCACCCAGGAACTCCCAGAAATGAACCTTCGCTAAGCCCTGGGCAGCTGGCAAGACAGTCGAATTGACAACCCACATCAGCCACTGCCATGTTCTTCTTATCTCTTTCTACAGTCATATTATTCCTTAAAATAAGTCATTTTGTGCACTTGATATGGGAATCCAGTTTCAATCAGGAAAAGCAAAACAATACTGCCATCATATTTATTATAATACTTAGTAGATACTTGACAATCATCCTCTAAGTTTTAACACAAAGTCAGAGCCACAATTACTGTGTCCTCCTTCCATACTGATTGGTGACTATCTTGACCCTCCTCTTGGGCAATTGCAATCAATCCAAAGCAACACTATAAAATTGAACTACTTCATATTAAAGAACACAGAATCAACAAGATGCGAAAGTTGTCAAGAACCACTAAAATAAAAACATGTAAAATTAAGACACCATTGATAAAACTACTGATGCTATCATTCCCTTAGAAGCTAAATTGATTTCTAGAATAAAAGTGAAATTCACCCACAGAGTTGGGGAGTTCTCATGTCAGCTCAAAGTTCATCTGAAGACAAGTCATTATAAAATGAGGGATCTGGCAATAACCTGTACTTTTTGCATTTAGGAAATAGAATTTAATTAAGCTTAATCTTAAATTTAAATCTTAATTTTCCTGTTTCTAACAAGTATGGAGAAGCATTGAGTTGTGCCAAGTCCTTTGTGTGGAGAGAACGCAGGCTGAAGCCGATACTTCAGTTCACACATGGGGCACGAGAGGGCTTGCCTGCCTCATGAGAGAGGACTGATGTCCACTGCCCAGCCTAGAACCTTTCAATGTGGCTGCAGAGGAAGGCAGAAAAGGACAAAGAGCACTTGAACAAATAACTGCTGTACTGTGCTTCCGGAAATTTTTCTTAACATGGAGGGGAAAGAATAGAAGTTTGGATTTCTTGCCAGGTAGCTAGGATTTTCTGATTGACTGCTTTGATTGACTGACTGATTGATTGAATATAACTTGATATCTGATTGGTTGATCATAACTATATCTGAGATGAAACTAACACATACAACAGAAAATAACTGGAAGCACAAGAGACCAAAATTAAGTGTGAGTGTGAGCTGTGTGTAATTAGAGATGTGGCAGATTCTCCTACCACATACCCTTGACCGTAACCCCACCAGATGCTCAACTGAAAGGTTCAGATGCACATGGCATCGAAATGTGTACTTGCATTCTGGATATACAGGTCTTGCCATATCTTGGTCTTAACCATCCAGTAGAAAAGTATAAAAATGAGGTATATAAAGTAAATCCATATTAATACGATGATCTGTAAAAGGCTCAAGTCAATAATTTCTGAGGATAACCCACTAATATTATAGACTGCTAGACAGTATTAGATGTTTAGTTGAATTCAAACACTTATAGTATTTAGATGCCAATAGAATATTCACCTTTGACAGGACAAAATAAATAAAAAAATAAAAATTAAAAAAAATGGAAATGGAAAGAAGCAGTCAATGCTCTAATTAGCTTCGTCTCCTTTTTTTCAATTGTTTGTACTTTTTCTTTTCTTAATTTCTTATACATTGCTCCAGGTTTTTCTTCTTCCAATTTTATGTGTATATATCTGGTAATATGAATCGCTGGTTGTAAGACAATACCATGTATTACAACAAATACTGTGAAGTTCATATTACTTTGTTAAGTAAAATTCTGTATGAGTTGTCAAAAATAAATAAATAAATAAATAAATAAATAAATTTTTTAAAAAATAAATGTATACTTGCACTGCTTTCAAAATCTATTTATTGTGTTTCTCTTTCAGGGGGCGATATTTGAAATATTAAAAAATCTAAAAGGTATAGACATAAAGTTTAAAACAGTTATTCCTTCTTGTCATAAAAATTCTAGCCTTATCCATCAATCTTCTATATTCCCCTTTCCAAAAACTTCCTTTTTATCCCTGATTTATCATTTAGCAATGTCACTTATAATAAAAGCTGTTTAAATAACATTTTTACTAAACAGTATATTGTAAATATCTTTCTAAATTATTTTCATTTTTAAAGAGTTCAAAATAGTATCAAAACAATTAATTACAAATCATACTGAGTTTCACTAAAACAAAATAATATGGCAATTTTTATTGTACTGCATAGCGTTCTCTTCAAGTTAGTTCCTCAGATTACCAAATATATGCATGCAAAATTGGAAGAAGAAAGAAAAAAAGACCAAAAAACTTATAAGAAATTCAGGGTAGGGCCGGCCAGATAGCTCAGCAGATTAAAGAGCCTGCTTAGGCAGACGCAGGGGCTAGGGGTTCGATCCTTGCCCTGCTGTGCAGGCCCTGCCCCCAGGGTGCACTGAGACGCTGATCAAGACTGGATGTGTTGGTGCGTGCCTGTAATCCCAGCACTTGGAAGGCCAGAAAACAGGAAGGATCACTACAAATCCGATCTGTGTAGTGAGACCTTGTACACACTGTGTAAATACATTTCTAAAAAGAAAAAAATTAAGGGCTGGTGTGACATCTCAGTGGTCTAAGAGCCTGCCTGGCAAACACAAGGACCCAGATTTGATCCCCTGTACTGAATGCCATATGGGCCATGGAACCCTTGGCCCCATGTCAGCCACAAAACCGAGTGTAATCCCAGCACTGGGGAAGCTGAGACAGAAGGATCACTACAAGTCTGAGCTGTGTAGCAAGACCCAGTAACAAATAAAGACATAAACAAAAGATTTTTTTAAAAAAAGAGATTAGAAAGAGAGAAAAAGGAAAACAACTGAAAAATGAAAGACCCTTTCCACAGACCAGCAGAAATCCACCGTACAGTTGGCCAAACCATCCTGCTTGCATACATAGCTATATCTCTTTCCCCTACTCCCTTTCCTGTCCTCATCTCAGCAATTTCTTACTTTGAGACAGGTTCATTGCCTTTCAGGGCCAGGGAGATAGCTCAGTGGCATAAGCACAAGGTCCTTTGTTCAATCCTGGCATAAAATAAAATAAAAAATAAACTAAAAGTAAAAACTGTTAATAACTTTTAGCCACCAGACTGTTTAGGACGTAGCTCTTCATGCAAAACATTTTGCCACACCGTTCCAATCTTTAGCATTTCACTATTTAGCTCCAATAACTTGTAAAATGTGAACTCCTCTTCCAGCAGGTTTCAAGGGTCATAAGGCTTCTCACACAGGTGTACCTGCTGTCCTGCCCTCCTTCCTGTACAGAGAAAGGACTGAGGCTCACAGTCAAGAAAACCTCCATGTTTGGTTAGAGATACCAGCCCCTCCAACCTTGCTCTTCCACAACATGCCTCTGTGTTAGATTATGTCTATCTGTACCTGTTGGTGCTTTCAAATATATCACCTAATTTAATCATCAAAATTATACCGGGATGGTATCAATTCTATACAAGATGGAAAACCCAGAAATACAAAATAAAATAATATGCCTGAATTTTTTTAAAAAAAAACTGGCAGAGGTAAATATACTCTGATGTCGGTGATGTAACATTTCTTTATCCATCTACATCAAAGATTAACTTCATGTGAGGTGACAACGATGCAGAATTCACTGGTCTAAAGGTTGTATCAGTGTGATGCTCTTAACGCCACAGCATGACACATGCAACTGTCAGTTTCCTCCTTGGGATGAATGAATGTGCCTCTGAACTTAGCACGGCCTCATTTCTCTAAGCTGAAAATGTCCCCATGTGATCCTTCACTAGCTGATGAGCCCCACCGTCTTCCCCATGCCTTGTTTATGCCAACCATGAACTCTAGACCCCAGGGCCAGTGAGGCCATCACCTGTCGCTCCAACAGGAGAACAGCTCTCGCGCTGTCTCTCCCACACAACATGCAGTGCTCGAGTCTGCAGTGAGGCAGTTCCTTGCTGCTCTTCCCATGCAAATCCTTCCTGTACTCCTGGAAGGAAAACGCCTGCACCTGCTGTACTTTGCTCAGTCAGCACCACCATCCATGAATATCAAAAAGAGTTTGTTGAGATGAATCTCATTTTCTTTACCCTTCACTTCCTTCATGGTTTTAGCAAAAGTGTTCCGTTTTATAGACAAGACTTGTCTGAAGTGTGTTCTGCTTGGTATGCACTGTTGAATTTAAAAATTCTCTTTCCAATTGCCATGACTTCATGTATCAAGCCAATGTGTCTCTTTTACCCTTGAGGTGGATATCTTTGCAAGAATGCCCTTGCCCGTCAAAGATATACATATCAGGAAGCCCACGTATGTGCGTTAACATGTTTAGGCTGCTCACGGGCCAAGGTCTTAGGACTCTAGGTTCCTGTTTTTGAGTGTCTTGGTGTCATCTGACAAATGTTATCATGTTTGATTGAACAAAGAAAATACAATTATGAACTACCTAGTGTTATCTCCATCTCCATGCCTAAGAGCACAAAGTTCTAAATGAAAAACAATGAAAGTGGGAACATGAAGATACTCAAAAGTTAGCCATGGCAATTGATACAGCTCAGTGTTAGTTTGAATGTTTGGTGTGCAGAAGCACTGTCTTTAATCCTTAGCACATGTGCGTGCGCGCACACACACACACAATTACTCATTTCTCTCTTCTCAAGACCTTGAAAAGTGAGGCCTTCTCTAGTTTCCCACTTTCTTTTTTCTTTTTTTTTTTTTTCCTTTTCTTTTTTGGTGGAACCAGGGATTGAACTCAGGCCCTTGTGCTTCCAGAAAAGTGCTTATTCCACTGAGATATCT